CGCCGGGCGGCCCGGAGCACCGCTGGCTGGTGGAGCCTCAGGTAAGCGAGGTGGTTTCCCAGCCTGGCCCGTGCGCGGTGGGCCGACTGCAGGGCTGGTCTGCAAGGGGCGCTCTGCAGCCACGGCGAGGGCGGGGCTGCAAAGGAAAGGCGATCCCACGCCTTCGGTGCCTGGAGCTGCGAAACCTGGTTTTCTGATCCACCCCGTGCGCCCCCAGAGTTACAGCCTGCCTCGCCCTCTGTCGAAGCCGCAATAAGCGTTTGGCGACAGGTGACATTTCACTTAAGCTCCAGGGGTGGGAGGTCGCTTGTGGGAGGTGATTCTCCCTAAATTTCGGCGCAGACATCTGCAGTGTCTCGTTCGTTTCCGGAATAGTGAGGAGCTTGAGACAAACCCGGAGGATCACTTGGATCCGTGGAAAGCCTAGGCTGGCTGCTCACCGGCCTTGGCGCATTGTCATCCCATCGCATTCCTTTAGGGGTGAGCGGGTGGGTATTTTCATCCCCATTTTACAGAAGAGGAGGTTGAGGTTGAGGGATGGTAGAAAGACGCTTGCAGAAGACCACACAGCTGGTAAGGTGGGGCAAGTCCTTGGCTAGACATTCCCTGCCCTTTCTGCTGCGGAAAGCTCCCCCTTTCCTCCTTTTGTACACCAGACTGCGAGTACATTGGACACGAAGCCGAGCTGAGTTAGAGCAGTAAAGCAAAGGCATGGGTTTGTAGTAATGCAATGGGGCGTTATAGACGGTGGACAAACACCCACTGCTTCCAGCAGATGCGAAGGACAAGCCCGCTTTCCTGACACTTCCTAACTACATTATCAGACCCTTGGGAATCATGTCACCACCTCTCATGGTGTTCTGTCCTGTCTGGTGACAATGACCAAACACATTCAGAGCCTCACTCCACACCCCCAGGCCCTGTAGGTCTGCTCTCAGCACATCCTGGCTCATCCCTGTTGGGCAAGGCTGCCCTTTGACCTCTCACCAATCCCCCATCCCTGCCAAGGCTGCCCTAGCTGGGGGGAGCAGCTGTCCCACAGTTCCTGTTCTTGATGGCCTCAGCTGCCAGGACTACACTGATGAACAGGAGAAGGGCTTGCAGGTGCCACGTTCAGGTATTTCTAGCTCTGAGACCTTGACCAGGTCTGTTTCCTGACCTCCACACGCGTTCGACTCACCTCACCTGGTGATGTGAGGCCCGATGTCGTTCAGGTATTTCTAGCTCTGAGACCTTGGCCAGGTCTGTTTCCTGACCTCCACACACGTTCCACTCACCTCACCTGGTGATGTGAGGCCCGATGAGATCAGGCATGTGAAAAGACTACAGTGCACAGCTGAAGAAACTGCTGGATTGTGTGCCCAATAACATTCAGTTAAATTCTGAAGACATTCAGGGACCAGCAGTTGGCATAATGGCTAAGGCACTCGAGTTCCCTAGGTCACTGGACTTCCACATAGTCGACTGTGGTTCAAGTCCCAGGCCCGGTGGGTTAAAACTCATGCCGGGCCATGTGTACATGCATGCCTAAGATCCTGAGAGAAGAATGGAGGAGAAGGGATTGCAGCGTGGTCATCCCCCCTGGGGTGTGACTTCTTGCTTTCTGTCTCTCTGTCTCTCTGTCTTTCTGGCGAGCACATGCACCCTATAGCAAAAACCTCTCAAAAAAAAAAAAAATTCCAAAGACATTCAGGATACCAAGAGAACTGAGTGTAGCTCTGGAACTCGAACGCCTCCTGGTCTGCAGGTGTAGTCTGCTAGGTGGAGAGGTGGCATAGCATCTGGTTAAAGCCACATTGTGTAGATTCAAATCCCAGTTCCTCCACGTATTAGCTGTAAACTTGGGCAGGTCAACTTGGAGATAATAGCACAGGGTGGTGGTGAGGATTAAATGGATTACTACCTATATAAAGTTCTCAAAGAGGTGTCTGACACTTAAGTAGTAGCTGTTGCTATGACATAAAGAAAAGCCATCATTTAATAGAAGTAGACAAAGTACGTATTATATGTCATCTGTCTTTGAGGTGATAGGGGAAAGCCTAAGGGTCAGGCTGGTACTTGTGCTATGCCTGGAAGGATACAGTGGCATTCAGAAGGCAGACAAGGAGGAGGACATTGCAAGCAGGAGGAGCATCAAGAGTGAGAAGTGCCTGGCAGATCCAGGGATTGGCGCATGGAGACTGGTTGAAACAGGTCAACTAGTACAAATGTAGTAGTTCATTGTGAGTCTGACGCACTCAAGTGCTTGGAAAGGGGGGAGAATGGGTGGGAGGGGCCTGGTGGGAA